GTATAGATTTGTATAGATCCGTATAGATCCATATAGATCCGTATAGATTTGTATAGATCCATATAGATCCATATAGATTTGTATAGATCCGTATAGATCCGTATAGATCCATATAGATTTGTATAGATCCGTATAGATCCATATAGATTTGTATAGATCTGTATAGATCCGTATAGATTTGTATAGATCCATATAGATCCGTATAGATCCATATAGATCCATATAGATCCATATAGATCCATATAGATTTGTATAGATCTGTATAGATCTGTATAGATCCATATAGATCCGTATAGATCCGTATAGATCCATATAGATCCGTATAGATCCGTATAGATTTGTATAGATCCGTATAGATCCGTATAGATCCATATAGATCCATATAGATCCGTATAGATTTGTATAGATCCGTATAGATCCGTATAGATCTATATAGATCCGTATAGATTTGTATAGATCTGTATAGATCCGTATAGATCCATATAGATCCATATAGATGTGTGTAGACTTGTAGTTTGCAGCTGAGGTCATTTATTGACAGTTGATTGATCCATGTGATGCTGTGTGTATCAGAAATAAAGATTCACTAACGATCTGTGTCTGTTCCACATCTTGATTTTTCTGAAAATGAAATCAATTGAGTTTAACGTCACTCTGACCGATTTTATGAATTTAATTCTATGAATTATTAAACGTTTATTTTGGATGAAATATTTTGTTTGTTTGACTTTCTGCTGCTTTTAAAACTTATTGATTGATTTGTTGTTTATTCACAGTTTTACTGCATATTTTACATTTAAACATAATTTATATATTTAATATAATATATATTTAATCCAGGTGCTCCAGCTTCCTCCCACAGTCCAAAGACATGCAGGTTAATTGATAACTCTAAATTGTCCGTAGGTGTGAATGTGAGTGTGAATGGTTGTCTGTCTCTATGTGTCAGTCCTGTGATAGTCTGGTGACCTGTCCAGGGTGAACCCTGCCTCTCGCCCAGTGTCAGCTGGGATAGGCTCCAGCCCCCCGCGACCCTCAAGAGGATGAAGCGGTTAGAAGATGAATGAATGAATGAATGAATGAATGAAAAATGATTAAATTGTTTAATAAGATATTTTTCCCTTGAAAGATATTTCATCAGTTGGTTTTATTTATTTACTTTTTGAATTAAAGATATCTTTTTGTTTTATTTATAATGAGTAAACAAAGATTAACATATTTTAAATTTAAACTAATTTTATAAAAATAATAAAACAGTAAAATATTATTTGACTGAAGTTGTTTGTTCTCTTCAAACATTTGTATTTCTTTATTCGTTGTGTTTATATTTCTTCATCAATATATTTATTATGTTTTATTTATTTATTTTTTTAGTTTATTTTCAGTTGTTGTTTTTGTTTGTTTTGTATTTGTTGTATTTGTGACCTCCGTCCAGCAGGAGGCGCCCTGCGGAGCTCCCTTCACTGCTGCTGTCGTAAAATCTGCCGCAAAGCAGTGAGCCGTCAGTGAGAACATCACGAGCTGCTCTGTGAGTGTGTGATGATCAATAATCATCAAAGAGTTGATCATAATCGATCGATAATGTGGTCGAGTGTGGAGCAGCTGGTGCTGGAGGAGTTCATGGTGACGGCGGTGACTGAAATCTGTCAGAGACTCAAAGAGACACGCGAAGAAGAAAAGACTGAGGTCTCTCTCTCTCTCTCTCACACACACACACACACACACACACACACACACACACCTGGGGGATATTCCAGAAAGCAGGTTTAGTGAAAACTCAGAGTAAGTTAACCCTGAGATGAGGGAAACTCTGAGTCAGTCACCATGGTAACAGACTCTGTGAACATAACCTGCTCGCTGACAGGTTTTCTTCAATAAACCCTGAGTGTTTCTCTGTCTCCTCCCTCTTACACGCTGTTTCATTTCCTCATTCATTCAGTCCGTGTCAAAGCTTGTATCGAAG